CCCGGTGTCGCTGCGCTTACTGTGGATGTTGGCAAGGTGTCTACCTGTCTATCACCCTCCACCTCGATCTCTGATTCCATAAGACTGAATCGTTGCTTTGGGGACGTGGTGCACGCTCTTTGTGGTCGTGCGGAGCTCAAAAAGTGGTTGCATGCATCCATTTTGGAACGGGCTACGCCCTAACCACTGCCTTGTGTACGCATGATTCCCAATTTTTATAGACAGGATTGCTACTGCCGTGTATGTTGAAGGTTTGTGGGCCGGCTCCGTTGATGAAAGGTGGCTCCTATCCACGTGCCCCCCGGTTTTATTCCTTCGGGCTTCTGCTGTATATGGGGTGTATGGAGAGAGCTGTGGGTGGTGCAGCGCAAGCCACCCATTTTCTCTGTGGCTGTCCTATGGAGGCCGCAATGACAAGCAAATCCGGATATGATTGCTACCAACCAATATGCAATTAACAGAGTGCTACAACACATAGGTAACAACTACAAAGAGAGGAAATACAAGCGGTCCGTTTTATTTATAGGTGGGTTTATGTGTTGTGTGGGCAGAGAGCTTTCCGGTTCCCCAGGCTGAGGTTGAGGGTTGACTTAAGGGACCTCACTCGGAGCCTTTGGTCTTAAAGACCAGACGCACAAGGCAGCGGGGAGATTCACACAAGTTTCTGTATACGAAGACCGTTGACAGCCTGGTGGCTCATTCACGTCTTTATACTCGGTAGCAGTCCATGCAGAAGCTTATGGCCAGCAAGGTTGTTCATCCGCCCTCTGCTGGGTACTAGCTGCTTATGACGCGTGCAATGAAAGCCGCAAGGAAGCTGTTTTACTAATGCCGCCTTATCTTTGCACGTTATCCAGCTGTTTGTAACAGTATGTTTTTGTCGCCAAGTGTGGACGACTTGACCCTGAATGTTTGCTTAAGGCACTAAGGTTTTCCGCTAAGTCCCCCTCTCCTTTTTCTGCAGGTCGTTTCGATTGTGTGGCAACGAAGCATCAGTTCAAATGTCTGATGTACTGGTGGTGGTGGTGATGATGATGATGATGACGGTGATAATGATAATGAGTAGGAGGATGCACTATTCTTACTCATTCACTGACGGATGTCACTTGCTCTATGCAATATGTTAGCTGTATTTTTTGATGGCGCATGTTCTGCTGATCTCCATCTCTTGTGAACATGCGGTTAATACTTTCTATCCTCCTTAGGGAAGATTTGCGTTTTTGTCCCTCACACATTATATCTGTCATAACACACGAATTTCTAATTCTCGCGTTTAAACTGCACCAATTTCATCTTTTTTCGCATAGGTTCGCAGAGTTCACCGCATCAGCTGAAGTCGGCCTGCGAAACGGTTCGCTAACATATCTCCTTTTTGACTTGTCACTCTCTGACTTAAGGCCTATGTCTAGACGAGCTGCTCTTAACTGGTTCCCTATATCAACAGCTTATTGAAGAGCTAGCTGCTTTCGTTTATATACTGGCTACTGTGGTTGGTGATGGGGTTGTGTTTCTTAAATCTCACCTAGAGGTTGTAGCACAATTTTTGAGCTAACAGAATCATTGTCGTTTTCTCCTCGTTCCATATACGTCCTTTAAGGCACCCAAGTAGCAACTACCGATAATCCTTTGGGGCCAACGCGTTTCGAGATAACTTTTTGCGCACACCTAATTCTTTGATGACCTAAGTGGGTTTTCGTCGGCTTCTGTCCCTTGAAAAATCCTACGGTAGCTATCTTTTTCTGAGTAACTGCGCTGTCACTCTGGCCTCTTTCACTGCATCAGCGTCAACTTCTCTTACCGTACATTCAATCCGCTGCTTCGTGCCCATGGTTGGATCACGCTGCAACCCCAGACACGCAGTAGCTACACACTGAAATTCCTTGTTTTTATGACAGATGTGTGTTCCCGTAGGTTGCGTCATCCCTTAGCCAGGTGTGGGGTTGGACGTTGACGAGCGTTTACTGAGTCAGACATGGTGCAAATCGGCCGTTGAGGTTATATTGACTTTCAATTCAGAGCCCTGCAACATTATTATCCCCCTGCTGGCGGAATACTCGTTTTTAAAGCAATCTCTATTCTTGGTGAATGGATATCTGGCAGATTGATGTAACAATACAACATTTAGGGTACTACCTCCCAAATGGCATGTTCTTGATGTGTGTGTGCGGCAAATTGCTTGCCTCACGATGTGGAATATCATTCTTTCATGCGTTCATTGTTGATTCAGTGAAAATAGTCCTTCACCTCGTCCAAGTCAATCGGGACGAACACAGAATCTCTTGAACACGTTAATTTTTCGATACTAAGAATGTATTTTTCTCGACTGTTCGAGTTACCGTCCAGAACGTGGAGTGACCATAAGGTACAACATGATGTCAAAGTGCAGATATTATTTCAGATTTCCCGAAGAGTTCAAAATCAGGTTTATGGGACTTCAATTAGTAGAATCTGTAACAAGAAGGATGGTTTTAAAGTAGGATGAAAGTTGTTATTGAAAAAAGCACAATAGAATTAATACGGCTAACCGTGGAACCGACTCATGGGGATCTGCTTCCATGCGGTGCATTCTCTCTCGAAAGGTTTCATCCGCACTTCCATTTCCCATTTGACTTCATGTCGGTGTAAGATAACAGCAAGCGAGCCATCACTATAATAGCTCATTTTCATGGCTGTTGTTATATATAATGAGTACTAGGCTCCGAAAGATAAGTGAGCTCTCATGTTTTTCCTTTTTTTATACTCTTTTAGACCATTCAGCCCAATTCGGCTTCTGACTCTGTCAAGTCTCACACCTTTTCCACTCGTTGATTGTGTGCCAATTTGCCTTGAGTAGGCATATTTTTTCTCACCAATAGGTCTGTGACAATTTGCCACACGTGGGCGTATTAGATAATCCGGAAGCTTCATTCCATAACCTCAGGAGATGGGCCGAGTCATAGTCAACAGTGGAAAAAAGAAATATAGATGGTGGCGAAATAGAAATCATGGTAAATGAGTGGTATATAGCCGACAACTTCTACCACAGATTGTAAATAGGGAATATCTAGAAAAAGTGAAGGTAATGAAAAATGGCTCTATGAACGATTTTGAGTTAGCTCCATCAACTCCAGACAATCGAGTTGTAGAGTAATTGGTGTGAAAAGTGGACTTCACAGAGCATCAAGAACTGCCACTGGTAGTCGAGCTGTTTTCTCCGGAAAAGAAGTGATAACAATTAGTATTACGCGGCAAATGTAAAAAGAGTGTGGAACATTGGTTTTGCATGGCGAAAAGCGAGATGACGTGTTGTTGGAATGGGAGTAAGCTTAATAGTTTAATTAAATGAGGAAGATATTATTCAGAAAGTTTGCACCTATTATCATACCCTTGTCCCTTACACCTATACTTCAACCCCTTCTTCATACATTGGCTCCAATCTGCAGTCCAGTTTCATAAGTCCTTTGACTTACAACACAGTGTGGTACGTAACCAGCAATTTTCCAAACGACTGTTTAGACTCACGTAGTCGCAATTCAGTAGGTAGTCTGTTCCAGTTATTCGTCAGATAAAACTTCATGCGTATGCTTGCTTTTGTTCTACTTACGGGGAGCGAGTTTCTCTTACCTCTAATGTTATTCCTCCCCTTTTGAATGTAGCGTATACTAGTGTGTGGGGCAAATACTCGTTTGTGCATTAAGTCGACTAGAAACTTCAGGTCTAGTTTCAAACTCCGTAATCACAACGACTCTAATCTAAGCATACTACAGCGCTGTAAATAGCTTGGTGTTGGGGATTCGGTAAGCAGGGCTTTGGTGAATCGACACTGCACATTCTCCAGGCATAGACGATCACGTTTCCTACAACTGGTAAATATCATCGAACAGTATTCCAAAACTGGGCGTACGCAGATCTTGAGCAAATACAGCTTGGAATCACGCGATATCAATGATTTGAAGATTAATCGCGCTATTGGCGCATTTTGGCTGCTATGAACTCGATCTGCTCCTCTAAATTGAGGGATTTTGAATAATGAACACCCAAGGCTCTTATTGTGTTGCGGAATGGAATTGGCTTTCCACAGAGGTATAAGGTGTTCATATCTATATTGCATCGGTGTGCTAAAATCCGCATTTATCCACAGCGAATGATATTTACCAGTTGTTACACCATCTTCCGAGAGCTAATCAATCTCTCCGTATCTTTCCAAAGTGTGTTCCAGATTTCCAGAATTAAACGTGTACAGTAACTTAATATCATCAGCGGAAGGGTAGGCTGTATTATATGTGATAGTTTCTGGTTCCATCTCGCAATACCAGTCTTCTCAATGTCTTATTTAGAATCATAAAGAGAACTCAGTGCTTTAAGTTTCTGTTACGTCATTAATGTACATCACTAATGGCAGTGGACTAAGGACATTTCTTTGGATCATATGGCTAGTGCCAGGCAGCGATGGTGACCTATGGATACCTATTTGCATTTTTTGAGTGTGATCAGTAAGATCTGATCTAAACCAAGCATGCAAGCGGTTTATAATGCCACTTCTTGTAGGTTCACTTTCAGATAACCAAGTTCTCCGTGCAATTTGTCAGATTTCAATTGCTTCCAATGTTCACTCGATGCAGTGCTTCCTCAGGTGTTTCACACAACTTTAAGTTTTTTGTCTTACAATTCACCCCAGTTGTGTGGCGTTAGTTTGAACAGTCTTGACGCGTTCAAACGGTTCAGTACTGCAATGGACTTTCCACTTTGTCCCTTATTTCTCTTTGGAGGCTTCTTGTCGGATCATCCGTAGCGAAGGGAATCGGGTCTTTCCGCACCTTGTAAGCAAGCATCGCGTCGACTACCTGACGGTGATACCTACCGATGTTCACCATTACTAACCCACGTGTGATTTCATCACACTTGATCTTTCTGTCATTTTCACTCATCATTTCCAGTTGCACTTCTCCAGAGCCGTTTCACCTCGCGCAGGCGCCTCATCGCATCGCTGCACCCGAAAAAGATTGTCTGCCGACCGATCGATGGCGTGCAGCGAAAGCGAACCAGATCCACAGGCCACTACTCAGCCGAACGCACTGCGAGCTTTTCCACTTAGTCCGACCACTTCAACTGCTATGAGTGAAACCGATCCGTTGGCCTCTCCTACGATGGAGCAAGGTATGAACTCTAGTCCTAGCACTTCAGTCCCCGATCACCAGTCTTCTGCTCTCTCTAAAAAGGCTCGTAAGGTTTTCCGCCAGCGGGTGCTCAAAGCGCGTGACCTGACGGGGCAAAGCGTCCAGGAGACGGAAATGGAGTCAAGTGAGTATGGCCACGATTGCATCTTGTTTTTATTGTTTTATTTCTATCAAATTGGAATGTTTTGGCATTTGAGGTGTTCAACAAAGCATTCTTTTGACTCCGATAGGGTGTTCTTTTTTCTGCGGATATTTCGCCCCAAAATTACGCAATAACATCAGTGCGGCTTTTCGGATCACTTCCAGATCCAAGTGATTATTGCTTGACTACTGCTTTGAATGGCTGGTCTCGACGTACTCACGTGGGCTGATTAAGTAGTCATCTCCTTTGTCCAGTTGGCTTCCTTCTTCCTCTTTGAAAATTTTTATGTCCCTTCAGTCTGAGTCAGATTAGTCCATAGTGCTTCATAAACAGTCTTTAGTTCCAAATGTCTACTGAGTGCCAAGCTTGGATGAACTCGCTTTACATTTTCTTGCTCCTATTATTCTAACATTCTTCAAATCGAATTTATGATTTTTTTTGCGTCCATGTGCGTCGAACGTACTGAGTCCTGATCATGTCGGCAGATGACCAGGCCATGTTCATTTAGTTTTGTGCCATGTTTCCTTCTTGTCTGCCACATATAGAGTATTTGTCACAATGTTTGTAGGAGGTGTGTTGCAAATCATACTATTTGTGTTTCTCCTTGTTTATTTTATCCTTAGCATTGAGGAGTTTGCTCCGAATCGTTTTTAATAGTTTCTGAGCCTATCCTGTCGATGAAACGCCTGCAGTCAAAATACTCAACACGGAGAACAACCGAACCCCATCATCTACATCACGAGCTATAAATACTCTTTCTTTTGTTTAATTTTCCCGGTTTGAATTATATAGCTGACACCGGTGTTAGTACTGAATGCGATACTTCACCGACGATGTTATTTCGTCTAACAACGAAACATCTTGAAACAAGCAGGCAAGGTGGCACATTCATGCTTATTACTTTGTTTTATATTTTCTGCTATTACCAGCCCGGAACCTGTTCACTAATCCTCAAAAAGACAGAGGTATGCGGGAAGTACTTAAGTTATTGGAGACAAGCTGATAATTTCCAGGGAAATTGATTGGTCCAAATCGTTTTCTTGTGTGACCGATGGCTTCGCCGAGAAGATTACTCTTTCTCCTCTCTTAATTATTTCAATTTACCACTTCACTCTAGCAATGAGTCCTCTCACCTCGGACGGTGGTCAACCTGAGGTGGTGGTTTCCGCCTCTGCAAAATCTGTGTCGAAACTGGCTCGTCACTGGCGTCGGACTTTATTATCAGCTTTGTCTACCATCTGCAGCCATCGCCACGCTTATGTTTTTATGAATCCCGTTACGGAGGACATCGCGCCTGGATATAGCTCGGTTGTTTTCAAACCGGTCGATTTGACCACCATCCGTCGCAAATTGGAGACGACTTTAGGCAGCTTGAGTACAACCTTACAACCGCCCACTAATCCAACTCAGATTCTGATCGACGCGGCTTTTGGCCTCGTTCGGGACATCATGCTTATGTTTGCGAACGCTCGGATGTACAACAGCCAAAATCACGAGGTGCACAAGATGGCTCTCGACATGTTCAATGATACTGTGGTTGAAGTAAGTCTATTCTTTGCCCCCTCCCACTCAGTTCACAATGTTTTATAAAATGCATTTTTCGGTTTCTCTGCGCAACCACCATCGAATATTTCACCTTCCGTCCCCCTTCTTCCCCGTGTTCCTGCTTGAGAATCGCATTGGTCAAGTTAACATTGTGCTTTATGCACCCATGAAGAGTGAATATTCAGCTGTAACACACACGCTAAGGGCACAGATAAAATCAAATAACAGTATGACAAATGTATATGATGCGTCACCAGTTAAAAATGTGGCAGGGGCGACATCATCGATTCAGTCTGGCAATAAGGACTTGTTTGACTACATCTTGTTCCCTCAGAAAACGTGACAAATAGGGAACAGCTGACCGTAGGCCCATATGCGGGCATAAATAACTTTGTGCGTTTGTCTCGTCGAAGAAGTTGAGTTACACTCAGACGGTGCACAATAGAGAGGGTGACTGGCCTCATAGTGAGTATCTTGGACGCCAGTCTTTCGCAGGAGCGAACATGATTGGACACAGAAATTCCGCTGCATCGAGCAAGATGCTTCAGCGACCTGTTGATCACTTTGAATTGCCCGTTTAAGGGTCTGGGAAATATCACAGCTGAGCAGTGCGTCCATTGCGATATGACTCAAGCGATGACAAACCGTAGAATCAAGTAACGAGGCACGGATGATGACCTAACTCGGGAGACGTAGAATGTTAGTATTCTGACTTTAGTGAATGTTTCCTTCATGTTATGTGACCACATAAGATCCCGACTTAGTGTAACTCGGAGATATTTCACTAATGAACAAATGTTGTGACTGACACTCTCAAGACTAAGATGCGGGGTGCGCGTCAGGAGCTGTTGGTAACAATTTTCCTTGGACAGCGATAAAATAACATAGTTACACTTTAATGCATTAAGTGAAAGACAGCGGGATTTGTCCCAGGAGGTTAGGCTGTCCAAGAAGTATTGCAAGTTGGCAGATGAATCTGTGTGTGATTGGGTACACCAAGGATCACGACATTAGCATACTTCAACAGGATGGCTTCCTTTGGAGCGGGAATATAGTTAATGCAAAGTAGAAAATACAAATAAGGACAAAATAGCTCCCTAAAGGACATCTGAATTTGTAGTAACTGGGGAAGAGCTTCTTCTCTTAATCTTGGTAAACTGCGTAGGATGAGCAAGATAATCTTTAAGAAAAAGTAGTAGTGAAGGTTGAACTCCGGAAACTAGCAGATCGTGTAGCAATGGCTTTCGGTTTACACAACCGAGAGCATTTCTGTAATCCAGGAAGCAGATCCGCTTGAGTTTGTTTTTTCTATCTAGTGATGAAAGCACCGGGTGTACAGGCTAATGCATCCAAAGTGGACCTTGAACTGCGATAGGCGAACTGAAAAGGATCATTTGAGTGGGTTTGGACAAGCATTCTTTCAAGTATGGTTCGTTCTAATGTCTTCAAAGCCACAGATATACAAGCAATAGGCCGGTACTTACGGGTCCTTTTTTTGGCACAGGTGTAATGGGGACGCTTCGCCAGCAGTCGACTCTCTTGTGCTGATGTAGGCACATGGTTCAGAAAAAGTCTGTGCTAAGACATTAGCACATTCCTTGAGGACTATAGGAGATAGTCTGTCTGGTCCAGACACTTTGAACGACTGTATCCGTGTTAATTCCTTGTGAACTGTTACGCTATTTGTAGGTGGTGAAGGTTGTGGGAAGACTTGCAACGGCAAAAATGGTAAGTGCAATGTTGAATCATCTTTATGACCACAGTAATTACAGTTTAATTCCTCCACATCGAGAACAATGTGTGTGACATTTCCGACTGCGCCACTCAGGTTCTTCATCATTTTTCATATTTCTCGGCAATTATTCTTTCCAAGTATACTTTAGACATACATATGGTTGGGGTCAGTCAATAAAAACTTTATTGAAGTGGCGTCTTTGGGCTTGTCAGCTTTCTCTTTGAGTCTGCGCAGGCTGCACGAATGATGATGCTTTCCATAGGACAACAAATATCGAAGCAATAGTTCAGCTAGCTGGTTAAAGGATCACAAAACTTCCATACATCACTTGTAAAATTTCTTGAAATCTGTAAAGCCAACAGTTTCACGCAGTGGGTCAATTTTTCGAGAAGACATTGATTTTGCGTTAACTTGCGATCTTTGCAGCGAATAACATTTTTGTTATTCCTTTTGCCATCAGTTATGAGAGACAACTTTATGGTGGCATGATCTGAGCTTCCAAGTGGTGCCTTGGTACAAACAGAAAAGTTTTTAAATAGTTGACAAACGAAATGTCTAGGGTTGCTTGTAACCTTGCAGCAGCTTGCACGATGTTCTTCAGTCCAAGATTGGTAATAAAACTAGTGTCGAATCGATTAAAGCCACCAGCAAAAACACAAAGAAAAATCTGTGTTCAATGACGGTATTTGTAAACGCGTCACAAAGGTTTTCAGCATCAGCTAAGGGGGAGTTGGGTGAAATATAAATGTTGGCTAATAAAATCGAGCGATAGCCATTCAATTATCGAGGCCTGCATTTCACAATTAAACAGTTAATGCGCTGCGCGTAATGACTAAAAATATTTTTTGTTGACGTGCACCATGAAGAATTTATGTATGTGATAACGCCACCGCCACGGTGCCTGTGTGTACATGGCCGGTCAACGCGATGCACTTTACCGTCAAGTGCCACAAATGTATCTCCTACGTCATCGTGCAGCAAGGTTTCTTGTAGCACAGTGATCAAGTTGGGAGTATTCGCGACAGCTTGTTATAGTTTTAAGCTCTTCTAATATGCTCACAAGCGAACGGATGTTGTTACTTATCAAAATAGGTATACTCATACGGTTGAGTATTTTCATTCGAAGTGCAACCCGTCATCCAGCGCGATGCTTTCTTGTGGAACTACTTCGTTTTCCTTTGATTCTTTTCCTTTTGTTCCGTACCGGCTGTCCAGGAAAAAGTGCTAAATTCACGTTCGTGGAAATGTGCAGACTTTTTAAAATGTCACGGGCGTAGCTAATCAGGACCCGGTTCGCCCAATGAAAACTTGATGAGTTAAAGCAAAAAGAGCAAAAGAAATAGTGAATGTGAGCCTGTGTGTTGATAAGTCTGGTGGACAGCCATTACAAACACGGCCGAATTTAAAAGCCCCTCCTGAATGCTTTAGATGCAAAGCATTCTTCATGTGATCACTATTGCATCATTGCTTCTTTTTTTCTCCCAAACTCGAAGCTTTTAGCTTATAAGCCTTATGCCTGATGGGATGTATATTTCGTCTGTCCCTCAGCTACAGCCACTGTGGTCGGTGCTCGTTGAGGACATCCCTGGTTTTCCTCCATTTCCGGAATCCACACGCGATACGCGATCTCATCAATGTAGGGTGACAGTTCGCCCACCTGCTCCGAATCCCATTCCCTTGGCATCTTCACCTGGTCCGCAAACCCCTCAAAGAGCAGTGGATCCTGTGTTGTCTAAGCCACCGCTATCATCGTCAACACGTCAGACAAAACGACTCATTCCTGAAGTGAGTTCACGAGCCTGTTTGTCACGTACAAACTGGAGTCGACGTTGTTTGTTGTCTGTCCTTCCACATTTTGTTGTATATTGAGTCAGTTTGGCGCACACACAATACGAATTACCTAACCACGCGTTTCATTTTTGGGCACATTTGATGTAATTGATTAGTACTGATTTCACATCCTTACGGGAGTCCGCAACTCTTATGAATGCTTCCTGTCATCCATTCCGCAGACTCCTTCGACTCCATTGCTGCTCCGAAAACGACGCCAATCCGACGGCGACGCGCCTGTCAGTGATGCCAACCGGTCTAAATGACGAACGAGGCTCCAATACTGTGCACTTGTTCATGCTGTTATACATTGTTGAAGAATTATACAGACTGTACCATACTCAAACTTCGTTCTCTTTTCCTTCGCAACTCATGCTCTCCTTTATGAGCCCAGTGCTTTCTGTTGCAGCGTTTGGGTTAATGGATTTCTACCCGACATCACGCACTTACATAGACGTGACAAAGGAGGAACGTGAAGGCAAGGTGCGTGTAGTTGGATGACTTCAGACCGAAGCTTCCTCTGTCTCTTCCCTATCCCTCTTCCGCTTCTCTAACAAACTCTCAGTTTGTCACAATTTAACGGCCATCCGTCGGTGTAGTGTCTAGTTTATTCCTCGACAGCACGAAATGCAGCCACCCACATAAGATCTGATCATAGTGGTTTGTTTTGCTGTGTCTGCCTCGTAACTGCAAAAAAACATGACAGTTTTAAAAGGTAAGGGCAGCCCAGTTTACATTTATTTGCATAGTCCTTCAATATACATAAGTCGCGCACTGCATCGCCAACAACTACGGTTTGCTGATATGGTCTGAGCGGCTTTCCCTACTAGATTTCCGACGTATGATAGTGCGGGAGTCAGTATTTCATTAGTGCTCATCACAACCCATCTTCCAACAGCGTTTTTTGCGTACAGTTTTCCATCCCAAATCTTCCCAGGGATCTCCTTGCCTTCATCGATATCGAGTTTGAGGTGAAACTCATCTCACTGCGCTCGCTCTTTGTTCATCTCTACGTTGCATACTTCTATTTCCGTACTCAGGTTCGAGACGTATGTCGGAACGCAATTTGGAGTTTGTCTTCATGTAAACCAGGTCACGGTATCGAACAACTGTTGGACGAGTCCACTGACACATTTTGGCAATCAGACGGACCACAGCCTCACTGTGTCAGTATACAGTTTCCTCAGAAAACCACACTTACTCGCCTCTGTTTGTACACGGACTACAAGGCTGACGAAAGTTACACTCCTAGCCGGTAAGTGAAATTCTCTGCTACCTGTCGTATTAGTTATCCATTTCATCACATTGTGTTCATTTCTCCCAGCGAACTTTTAGTCCCACATCGGTCTGTTTCACGCGTTGCCGCTGTTGCGTAATTTTCGACACACTGATATACGCTCTGATGGTCTGGATGTAGAACACTTTGTTTCAGAAAGGATGTAATCAGCACCACCACTTGGTGACAAAATTGTAGCGCTTTCCGCAGCTGCTTCGCATTGACGACGATGTCCGCCTTTAATCCTTAAACTATCTCACTTCGTTTGTTCGCGTTTGTGTATCGTGCTAAAATGTGTGTCGGAGGTGTTCGCATCACTCGCCTATTCTCTGTTCTACCACTAATCGAGCATGTGAAATCCTTTCTTATCCAACAATCTAGATAAGGCCACTACATCTCTCGATCCACTACGTGATTGACATCTCGTGTGTGATCAATTCGTGCGCGATACCTCTAGAGTGAATGTTCAGCCATGTCACCGTCATTCTACACTTTCACAAATAAGGAAAAATGCACCCGCTACTGTGCTGCAACCCAATCCAGTAAGGTATCCGAAAATGGGTAATAAATGTTGAACAGTATAAATTAAAAACACGTAATATGTATTTTATTGTGCATCCGCAGAGAGGTCGTAGTTGGCGTGTCCCCAACCAAACTTGTTTATCGTCTTACTAATCCCACCCCGGGAGTCGGGGGACTCTAATTGAGGCCAGTTTTGACGCTAGAGTCTTTGTTCCTCCTCTTCCACTCAGTCACAGGTCGCGCAGACCACGCACTTCGCGGGAGTTCGTTTGCTAACACCTGTAACATGTGACCAAGTCATCGGAGCTTGGCGCTTGAAATAATTGGTGCTTAGTTGTCCACTTTTCTTTCTGTGTCATCAACACGATGCTGGACCCGTTCGTTCTTCACACGGTGCTCCCATCAGATATGAGGTGAACTTCGAAAGCACCGGTGGCCGAACATAAATACCCTCTTTATTTCTATCGATTTGATGATCAGGTTTCACAACCGTACAGTAGTGTAAACGGACTGCTGCATTGTCGAGCTTTTATTATATGGTTTATCGCTTCATCCTCTACTCCACAGGCGCTGATACAGCTCACTAGGTGGTGAAGTTTCTGAACGACCTTGCAGATACCCACCAAGATTCAGTACTGAGGTGGCTACCTGCCAATCATGGAAGAAGGTTTTACTTTTCGGGAATGCAAAGTAAAGCCCCAAATGAGCTGTTAAAGATGAGGGCAATATCACCTGTGTTAGGGTGAGCAGCTGCTAAGGAATGGATCAGTGAACCCTACGTAGACTAAAATCTAACCTTCTTCCAAAAATCAAGTAGAATAATCGCATTGGTCGATCAGTGTGTTCTGGGACAACCTAATATTAGTGTTGGTAAGTAAAGAGTAGAAGATAGAAACCATTCAAGGTCATCAAGAGCACATAACTAACAGTCGTCTGCGCTATGTAGTTGTCTTGTGTTTGGCGGCCAGTAAACTGGGGGAGCTGAGCCTTTTATTGATCAACCATTCGGAATAGTCAGATCCCAAAACACCCAGTCAGCGTGACACGGCGCAACCTTGTTGAGCACAACTTGACGATGGAGAGTTTTTAATTAGGGAACCCGAAAATGCCATTTCAATGGAGGAGCTCACGGCTATACTTCAACATCCACAGAAACAATTTGAAGGAACCAGACATGGTTGATCGTACATATCTTCCAGTTTCTTGCGGTACGATCAGGGCAAAGCACTGAAAGCAGAAGTCATCTGTGGATGCGGTCGCTGACAGCATTTGGGAGTTCCACTATGACTCGGATGCCAGCCTCACCTACAATTCTTAGGTCAAAATATGCGAATACGTTTTTCGGCCAGAATTTGACGAATTTGACCACTAATGGAAGTGTAGACTGCTTTTACGCAAGCTAGTAATCAAGGAGCACGACAAGTTTTTTCCATCTTATTTTGCCAAAATGCCCCAAAGATTTTGCTTTCGACTAACTGGTACCTTTGTGGAATGATATTTTTACTGAACAGTCTTCCTTATCCCGCGTTTTATAAAGATGCATAAAGTTTGTTAAGTGCACATCAGACGATTTGCCGCCTTACGCAAATACTGTCGACTTTCATTACGGACGTTTCAAGCTGGGGGAAATGGTGGATGATGAGCTAATGGCCCCGATTTCCGTTTGTGTTCTTCAAGCGCCTGAGGATGCCGAAACACGTCTGAGGTTGCTTAGTAAGATTAAGCTGGACCCGTCCATATACCTCATGTCCATCACCTCTAAATCTCAGTGGTTACTCAATTTGTAACACGATAAGAACCTGATCGCCGTAGATGTGTTGGCAGTGTCAAACCAGCACGGAAGTCCAGCGAACGTCCCATACTGTGAGACTAATCAGACCGCCATCATTATGAAGACAATATGGGGAATGGCACTTCGTCAGCTTCTGTCTGTTCAGTGAGCATTTTTGTCAGAGGATGATCACTACCGGGCATCTGCTAATAACAATAACGTCCCCACCAAATATTCTAACATGTTTGTACCCACATCTAACAAAACAAATATATCAGCTTTATGCTGTTTTTCTACCTTCCGTACGGGGATTGCAGGGCGCGTAGGTTCGTTACAGTACTTGGGAATCAAGTGCCCGTAAACCTCTGAGTTGAGACTGCTTCGGATGTCAAGCTCATATTCGAGGAACTTTGGAAAAAGATCTGTAATGCAACCATACATAGGACAACTTGGGTTGCAACCCATGCTTCAGGAAGATCGCTGAACTTGGTTGGTGAGATTTATTGCCCTGTACTGCTCAAAGACTTCCAGTTGGACAGAGCTTGCTACGTAACAAGCCACCCGATCTGGACTTACTCAGTCCCGACTGTATTGACAATTTGAAACTACTTGAGGTTCACCGGAATTCCGTGTGCAACAAATTAAACGACGTGGCTATGAATTGGACGGAGATTTACAGAGAAAATACCCACTGATGTTTCCGGATTGTGTAGGATTGTGCACGAAAACCAAGGCCTGTTTATGCCTGCGACCAAACGCAAGGCCATTTTTTTGACCAAAGCAGCCAGTTCCATATACAGTGGTTTTAATCGTCCACCAAGCACTTGACAGGCTACAGTCAGCCGAAGTTATCTAACCGACTAATTACTTTTCATGGACACTCCTCATTGTAATTGTAACAAAAGTCTAAAAGAAAGATCTGCCTATATACAGCTTATGCTACAAGCCCAATTGCTGCGTTAGAAGACCCCTACCACACTCTGCATCTTCCTATAGATCTTATTGCGTTTCTAAACAATGACATTTATTTTGTCAAACTGGACTTATCCTACACATATCTCCAGGTTTGAATGTCGGAGGAATCACGGAAGTTGCTAAACACCCACCGTATACACGCGCACCATTTAGCGTTAAGTTGGCCCCAACAATCTCTCAGCACATACGTGGATACGGTGCTACAAGCAATACCATAAGCCACCGCACACTTGGCCGATGTCATTTTCATGGGATTTAACTCGGAAAAACTACACCCATGAACAGAACACGTGCTTGACATGATAATGGAGTAGGGATTTCGACTGAGAATGGACAAGTGTGAGTGAGCTTCTCATGACCTCCATTAAATACTCCGGCTTTATCATTAGCCTGATCCATCAAACATCGAGGTGATCAAGAGCATGCCCCTACCTAAAGACTTGGCGACATTAAAATCTTTCCTTGGTTTGATGAGTTACTACAATACCCAACTAACGTCTCCGCACGATCTACGCGGACCACCACCAAACCAATCGCTGATAAGCAATCTCCCTTGGGTCTGGACCACCGAATATAAGGAAGCTTTCGAGTATATCAAATATAAAACATTTACTCATTGTAGTTTTCATTCTATTCCATTACTTTTTTTCTTTCCATGGTTGGCCACTACTGGGCTGATTTCCCGAGGTGATGGATTAAAGCTTTCAAGATAAATAATTACACCCACGTAAGGCGAATTGCCACAGACCCATTAGCAAGAAAAAATATGGTGACGGACCAAAAAACGAGTCTTATTTGTTGGCGGTTTATTACATAGAACTGTGGCCGTAAAAAAGCATCTTCGTGATGACAGTCGCTGGCTTTAAACAGTGGCCAAAAAACCCAATCAATACGATGAGGGCTTACTTACCTTTAAGACACATCAGCACATGGCCAGCTGAGGCGTGGAAGGGTAGATGAGACCTCACGAGAGACTGCTCCGCATGAAAGCTGGTCCCCAGGATACGGTTCCACGGGTGGTCTTATTACTTTACTTGAACTGCTTGCTCCACCTACATTTATTCCTACACTCTACTTTCCACATTTTTATTACTTCTAATTAATTGCAGACCGTAAGAACTTCTCTGCGACCTGTTTTGTATAATTCAGAAAAATTTTCTCTACCATCCGAGTATGTATTACACATATATCAAACAACGCATTTGGACTGTCTCACACCGTCGAGAAATATACAATTTAATTATCTATTTACGAATCGCCATTACCCTAAGGATTGGTGCATTGAGCATGCGTCCGCCTTGGCGTCGCACTTCTCTTCCGTGTTTTCAAATGATCATGTGCCTTAACTGGTTGAGAATATCCGTAGCCGGAGATGTGGATGTGGGTTTTGCACTGCTGTCCGAGCTGAATGATTATTTTGCAGACGTTTCACTACCAGACTAGACAATATCGTCAGTTTAGCTTTAAGGTCCTGTTTTGCAGAGCCTTGTATCCGACTTCGAGATTTAAGTGCTTATTGATCGAGTTCTGCTTTGAATACCAGGCTTTAGTAAACTCACGTGCTTGCCAGCTTGTGGCTCTTCCGAGGATTTTGACATGCCTCAGGTCGAACTGGTGGTCTTCGGCATCCAAATGTGCGGACATCTAACAGTTTTTATCATTGCGGCGGATGGCTAGGTTATGTTCATGTAGTCGTGTGCCAAGCTTTCTT